CGTCCTCCAAAAGCTGCTTGATTTGCTCAATAGAAATGTTCTGAGATATGTTGGGAAAGGATTAATGCAGGTCTTGTAAGGTACACTATAGGCGAGAAATGTTAGCACGAGGAATGTGAATGCGATTAAGGCAAGAATTGTAGCTCAGGTGCTTGGAAGAAAGAAGCCCGAGGGAATCGTTGGGGCAGCAGGCAAGCAATTAGTAGCAAGGGAGCGGTTAATTGGCATCTCCTGGGGTACAACATCTAGCGAGAAATGCCATACCCGGGTGTAAAAGAAGAGAGACATTACACTCCATCTCCATCCTTCCATCATTTCACACTCCCTCCCTCCCGCCTCCCTCCACCCTCCCTCCACAATCCCCCCTCCCTCCCTCGAACCCTCCCTCCAAAATACCTTTTCCCACTCCTCCTCCACCCTTCCTAAATCATCCCCCCCACTTCCCTCCATCATCCTCCCTTCCCCTCCCTACTGCCCACCCTTCTGCCCTCCTGTGCCTGCGGGTGAAGCCACATACATACACACACACGCACCTCCCAACCGCTCCCCGGATTTCCCCCAACCAACCACCCCACCTTGAGTGCGGTCACCTCGTCTCCATGACCCCGCAGTGCAGCCAGCTTGCGACCCGCACCCCCGCTGCCCAGAGAGTACGACAACACCGTACCGGACCTGGGGGTTGGGAAATAGCGGCGGGTTATTGGTGGGTTTCAGAGCCCCACTACTCCGCTATTTAATCCCCGGAGGCAGGGGGCTGCTGGCGCCGCACGTCACGCAGAAGGGGGACTCAAACACAGAAAAGAGATTTCCCAGGAACTCCAAACCCACACCACCCATATCCGCAGATCCGGCTCGCCAATGCTCAACAATCACCCACCCGACCAGTACTGGATGCCAAAAAACACACGTGTACCCAATGACATACATACTTACATACAAACATGCCCACACATGACACACACTCTTACCTAGCCCCCAGCAGCACTCTGCCCGCCTCCGCCGCCCCCTCTCCTGCCCAGTCTGCCGCCAGTGACCGTACACTCTCGTACACATACGTGCTGTTCAGCTCCCGGGCTCCGGAACCACCCGGCTCATCACCCAGATCCCACACCTTGCCGTACACCGGGTTGGCGCGTGGGGCATGCCCGGGATTGGGGTTCGGTGTGTACGGCAGGGGTGCATGACAATATGTTGGCGGCCAGATTCGGGATTGATCTGCAGTGACCCCCGGAGCCAAAACCTTCACCCCTTCCGTACCGCTGATGTACGGCATACGGCCGTTCTTCGCCACCGTCGTTTTCCCGTGCCATCCCCAGCAGCTCTCCCGGCACCGGCATCACGTGACACCGAGTGCAGTTGGCGGAGCTCACCGTCTCGCAGGGAGGGTAGGGTGTCCCCCCACTCGCCACCCAATACTGATCTGAACCCAAACTCCAAATCTCGCATGAGGCCCTCACACCACACTACTAACGAAGCTCGAAGTAATGCGCACGCAGTCACACGTATTTACCGACACACGTACATACATACAGACACACACACACACGTGCATGCCGACGTGCACTGCGGGGTTTGGGGGGCTCTTCCCCCCCCCCCCGACAAGCCCCCGGTAAAGGACCTCCAATGAGGTAGTGGGTTCCCCCCAAACCCCACCAGACCTTGAGGGTGGAGTCCCGCCCGGCGGTGACGAGGCGGCGGCTCTCTCCGTGCACCGCCAGCGCCTCCACTCGCCCGTTGTGCCCCACCAGCAAGCGGGACACGGTCAGGCGGGGGGCCGCTCCCCCGCCCGCTGAGCCGGGGGGTGACCAGTGCCACAACTGCGGGGGGGTTACGTGTGTGTGTGTGTGTTTTGGGGGGTTAGGTGTGTGTGTGTGTTTTGGGGGGTTGTGTTTGTGTGTGTGTGTGTGTGTGTGTGTTTTGGGGGGTTGTGTGTGTGTGTGTGTGTGTGTGTGTTTAAAAGAATGATTTGAGATCAGTATGTCTGTTAGGTATCGATCCTGGCCTGACACTGGCCGGGGGGGCACCTAACCGTAAAAACCCCAATGGAAATGAGCGACCGCCGAAGCACTCTCCATCACTGGTGGGGCGTTATATTGGTCAAGAGTCCTAATCGTTCTCCCTCATCAACACAAGGTGCCGTCCCCTGTTCGAATCCTTTAGCCAGCTACATACACACCAGCTCAGATGCCGAGCAACCTCCGTTCCACCGAAAGCGCATCATACTCGTCTAAAAAGCGATCTACCAATCCATTCACGCCGGTGCCAATTGCCACCTTATCCTTGCGAATCCTGCCGCCGCCGGGTTTCGTCATCCACCATATACAGCCTCTGGTTCCAGCCCTGTGCAGAACTTATCCCTCGCCACTGCTCTGCGGCGAAGTGCATAGATCTTCTGATTGTTGGTGAGAGCTCCCACTCCAGCCGCCAAGAAGCGCACTGGAGGAAAACCCAGTGCCTCACCCCAGCATTCGACACCCCGATCTCTTTCACCCGGGGCGGGGGGGGGAAACAGCGGTGGGATCCGAGCCCACATCTTCCAATAAAGCTAGATGCCGTCTCTAGGATTCGAACTCCAGACTTACCGATTACCTACCCCGGTGCCCAGATGTATGTGTATGTATGTGTATGTATGTGTATGTGTATGTATGTGTATGTGTGTGTATGTATGTGTATGTATGTGTGTGTATGTGTGTGTATGTGTGTATATGTGTGTATGTGTGTGTATGTGTATGGGGCAGGTAAAGCAGCAGCGGCCAATTCAGCGGCATGATCATCGCGATTAAGATTTCATTCGCCCGCGATGCGGCACTCAAGAAATGGCGGGGGTGGCAGGGTACATACATGCAGACATACACACCTTGACGGCCCCGTCGTACCCCGCCGACACTGCGATGTCCCCCGACAGGGCCACCGCCGATACGACATCCGCATGGGCTGCCGCCAGGGACTGCATCACGAACTTCCCGCGGCCCCAGTCGGAGTCGTACTTAGGCGACGGCGACGGAGTCGCTGAGGCCGGCGGCGGCGACGGCGGCGGCTGGGTCGCCGCCTGGGGCCTGTCCACGGCAGCCGCCGCTGCCGCCGCCGCTGGCGGTCCTCCTGCAATGGCAGCGGCATCTGCAACCGGCAGCGGTTTGTTCGCCGCGGCCCTGACCACCGCCGAGGCCCCGGCGGCAGTAGCCCGGTCAGCTGCCGCCTCCTTCGGCGTTGCGCTGGTCTCCTTGGGCGCTGGCGGCGGCGCTGCTGCCGGCACCTCCGGCTGCCTCTTAGCAGGCGCCGCTGCCACAGCGGCAGTCGCTGGGACCGCCGACGCTGCCGCCGGAGCAATTTTCACTGCCGCCGGCTTATGTTGTTGTTGTTGTTGCTGTTGTTGTTGTTGTTGCTGCTGCTGCTCCTGTTTTTTGGGGGTTGCGGTTGCTTTGGCTGCGGTCTGAGGCTTGTCTGGGACCGCCGTTGGCTGGGCTACTGCCGCTGCTGAAGGGCGGGTTGACTCCTCCGCGGCGGCGGCAGCTGCGGACTTCTGACCCACTGATCTGGACTTGCGCTTCTTCTTTCCGGCCCCTGCCGCTCTCATGAGGCCTAGCATGACCATCAAAGAGACCAGGCGACTCCAGACCCAGGCAAAGAATGACAGCTGGATTGCCTTGGTAGCGACGGCAGCTTTCGACGCGGATTTGTTGGATGCAGCAGAGCTGCTGCCGTCGGCTTTGTTCGGGGAAACGCCCGCGCCAGCTCTGTCGGTGACTGTGCCATCCTCCTCCGCGTCGTCCATGGCCTGTGCACGTGCAGTATCACGTACGAATGGGTGGGAGGCAAGAACAACGAAAGGTTAGCAAATGCCGAAAACTGATGAGGAGGAGAGGAGCGCTTTCATGGTATGGTATTGATGGGCGCTTCCCCGCATACCAACTGCTGCCGTACTGCCGGAAACACGCAAGCAGCCGGCATGTTGAAAAAAGTGAGCCTGGGGAAGTGGTTGCACCAACCTTTGACTTCTTCCCTTTCTTTTTCTTCTTGGACTTGTGCTCATCTGGCGCCGGTCTCTCGTCTGGCTCCGCAAGCGCGTCGAACGCCAGCGGAACTACCGGAATCGGCAGAGCTTTCAGCTGCTTCTGCGCTCATTTCCACGTGGACGCGCTCGGATTGAAAAAGGATCTTCCCAGGTAACAGGATATGAATTGCGAACGCTATTAGCGTGCAGATCCTCTGTGGGTAACAGCAGATCGTGCTTACCGAAACTCCGCTTCGACCCCGGCGCCGGCGCACGGTGATCCATTCTTCTTCAGAATCTGACATGTGTTCACAACCTTAAAAAAGGCTTGTCTGCGGTTTAAAATTCGGGTTCGGTATATCACCAAAAACACTGTGTGCACTACAAATGCTCAGGAAAAAATGGCCATGATTGAAGATAGCAGGGATTCATATTTATTTAATGCAACTTGTTGTGAGTGCCAATTGTGCACCAAGTAGTTGTGTTAGGTAACTGAGAATACGGGCTTGGTGGTTAGGGCAACTGTCGCCGTGCAGCAATGCAAAGTCAAACCCTGGGATCAACACCAGCTGGTAGACCTGCTCGCCAATCCAGATGTCATGCATAACTATTATCAGATGCAAGTAAATTGCCTGTAACCTCTGTTGCTTGCTCTTTGGCGTGCCTAGGCCTTACAAGCCCTTCCGGTGTTGTAGGAGGTATTTATAAACAAATAGGCGGACGCTACGATTTCGACTCATAGTTGGTACCCATGCGACCCGTAGATGAATAATACGTACGTTAACTAACGCAGCACGCACAAATGTCACCTTCGCGGCACAAACAGCTTCTTGATCAGCTTCCACCAGCCCTGCGCCTTGCACTTCTTTTTGCCCTAGCTCTAGCGTATGCTGCATATAGCGTCAGACCCCAGCCACCAGGCATCACGCGCCTCATCATGAGCCTCCCCGTAATGCTTCTATTCACGCTGGCACCTTTACATCTGCAAGAGGTGCGGGACGGAAGGCGTCGAACCAGTAGTACTCATAAGCTGGTGGCGAATGCTACTCAATTTGGCATCTCAAAGCTACCGTTTAGGTAGCTTTACCTTACGACACCATCTGGCCATGTATCGACCACTCCGAGCCGCCCCCCAACCACCCGAGCACCTCTTTGCCCTGCCCCGTTGCGCCCTTTCCCAGTCCATCATCATTTGCGGATCTCTGGCCTTCATGTTATGTTGGCTCTGCAATTTCAAGGTGCGCTGCACGGCGCTGTGCTTTCCAAAATGATGCGCAGGATTTCCGGAAATACCGTTGGAAATACCAGACACGTCCCACTTCGCACGGAGTACTACATTCCAGAATCTACAGATCTCCACCGTGCTGATCTATCGCTTTTGTCTTTCGCTCTTAGCTCGCTATCCCCGTCATCACTATCCTCCCTCCCTATCCTCGCTTCGCCATCACACCACGCAAGCTACTGGCCTATTCAGGCAATCGGGGACCTCTGGCGTATCCGGGGCTCAGCACGAGCCAATGGCTGCTGATGCTGTTACTGCCGTACTTCCCAGCCAAAAAACGTAGGTTGTACGTCAGGAGTCCATGGGCTGGTTTGATGCCACTGAGGGGATGGGGCCTGGGTGATGCGGTGCCTGCAGGCGGTGGAGAGCTCACAGCGAAACATAGACACATATGTGTGTGACCCAGATGGGCCGTTTTGGCCGGCAGCTCGGGTTTGTGTTTGTGTGTCACCACCAGCACGCAGGGGCCCCCCTTCCGGCCTCTCAGCTAATGACCCGGAGCTCTCCACCCCCCCGCCTCACCCCCCCGCCAAACCCCCGGCCTCGCAAACCCGCCTCGGCACAGGTGGCCACGCCCGTGCTCGTTCACATGTCGTACTGCTGAGCCTAGTTTTCAAGGTGGCCTTGGCCGCGGTTCTGACGGTGCTGTTGCTGTCCCCCCTGGCTGACCCGGCGGGGCCGCCACATAGCCTGATGCTGCGGCACACGGGTTACGGTGAGTCAACGTGGACACACGTGGATACATACATACATACATACATACATACATACATACATACATACATACATACATACACGTGTTCGGTGGGCCACCTGCTGCCACAGGACCTGCTCCTCCCCGGCACACGGCACACGGCATGTGTCTGCATCTCCCCCACCGGACCACTCACTCAAACACTCGCCTCGCTCGCCTCACTCGCCTCGCTCGCCTCACTCGCCTCACTCGCCTCGCTCGCTCGCACGGACCTTACAGCTCCTCTGCAAGCTCCCAATCGCCCCGCGTTCGAGGGGTCGTTCCAGGCTCCTTTTTTCCCCCTTACCCCCTCTCACATACATACATACACACACGTGCTGCTACACATGCACGCACAGCCCTGTACGTGTGGATATTCGCGAGCTTGCTGTTGGACCTTCCCGTGTCGTTGGGCTGCGCTCTGTGGTGCCGTGTGGAGCTGCAGCCCGCCATGAACAACCCCTTCGCGTCCATCTCCGTACGGGAGTTCTGGGGACGGAGGTACAACCAGGTCGTGTCGTGCGTGCTGAAGGTACGGCGGTGGTGGCGGCGGCCATGGTGTTACGTTCACAATCGTGGTGACGGCAGTGGTGATGACGGCAGTGGCAGTGGCAGTGGTCCCTGATGAACCCGCCGCCTTGCCCCGGTGCAGGATACGGTGTACGACCCTATCATGGACGGCAGCTGGGTGGCGGTCTGCGGGTTTGGCAACGAGCAACGGTCAGCAACCGACGCTGCAACGAATGGCGGCGGCGGCAATAATAGAGGCGGCGCGGTTGCGCCCAGAAGTGTTCATGTCGGCGCTAACGCCAGCTGCTGCTCCAACGGCCCCGGTATCCCAGCCGCTACACGACAATCAAAGGAAGGTTCCCGCCGTCGACCCGCCACGTCGTCATCGCCGCCGCCGCCGCCGCCGGAAGGCATCTGCGACTTGTTTCCATCGAGTCCGCCGTCTGCAAACCCGGTGACGGCTGGGTACGGCAGTGGTGGCGGCGGCTGCGGCGGTGGCGGCAGCAGCACCGGTCAGGCTCACATCGACCGCCGCTGCCAGCGCCAACGTGTGCCGTGTGAACGGCGGCGGCTGGCGGCCATGTCGGCGGCGTTCCTGGTCAGCGGCGTCATGCACGAAGTTTGCATGGCGTGAGTGGTTTATTGCGGGAGAGCACGGGGGAGAGGGACTGCTTTAAAAACATGCCCCTACCCCTTGTCTCCACACGCCCTACTCCATCTCACTACATGTTGGTGCATGCTAGAGATTCTGCCTCTTCATCCTCCCATCCTCCCACCGGCGACGCAGCGTGAGAATGGGCTCATTACGGTTAATAGTTAAAAACTTACGCCGCCGCTGCCACACGGGGGACGTCCCCAGACGCGATGCGATGCTGCTTCCTTGGCTCCCACCTAACGCTCCACCTGCGCGCTCTTTTTACCTCTCCTCTCCCCCCGCCGCCGCCGCCGCCACCGCCGCCGCCGCTGCGTCAGGTACATGTGTGGTGGCATGCTGGAGGGCAGTTTCCGTATGCTTGGTTTCTTCCTGATCCAGCCGGTCATTATCTTGGCTCAGGACGGGGCGAGTACGGCAGTGGCCAAGTGGGTTCCGGAGCAACTGTCCGGCAGTCTGGCCGCCAGGGCGCTGCAGACGGGGGTGACGCTGGCGCTGGTGCTGGGCAGCGCGGAGTGGCTGTTCTGGCCGCCCATGGAGGCGTGCGGGGCGGATGGGCGTGGGCTGATGGAGGTGATGGGCGTTATGCGGGCGGTTGGCGGTTGGTTTGGCAAGTTGGCGGGTCGGGCCGGGAGCGCCGCGCTTGAATGATGAGTTGTATGAGATGTACTTCGGTGTGTGCGGAGAGAGCCGGTCTCCTGTCAAAAGGGGTTTGGTTGGAGCTGGTCTTGTGCAGGGTCTTTGTGGTGTTTTAGGGGGGCCTGAGCCGACATTGTGCGTCGGCCGTGGGATCAGTGGTGCCTTGTTGCCGGGTGGCTGCTACTGTTGCAGCTGCTGTTGCGTGCAGCATTGAGCCGCTGAACAGCTGTTCGCTCAAATGTGATTCATGGTTGTTCGATTCGTGACTGCGTCTTTATTTCTGGGGGAGCCCGCTGCTTGACTCCGTGGGCTGTTGATAATCCTTGTTGGCAATTCTTCGCCCGGGGGCATCATAATCCCCCGCCTTCAACCCGGGGGGGGAAGAGAGTAGCTCCCGTGGGTTCCTCCAGGGCGCATCGTGTGTTGCGTTGTGCCCTGTGTGACCGCATGGTGTGTGTGTGGGGGAAGACGAACCACGTGAACGAGTTATGAAGCTGCTGCCAGGGAAAGAGTGTACAAGAAGTAGAACTGACTGAAAGGCGTTCTTGAAGGCGGTGACCTCGGGTGTGTTTGCGAGCGACAGTGACGGAAGGAGTGCTGTTCAAGCATCGTGTGATGAGCTCAGGCTGGTTCTTGCTACATTCCTGGGCAGACCCCCGACATTGATCAGGAGCAGTAGGTTTACGAATCGCTCTGCTGAGGTGTGGAGATGAGGTCTAGCTGATGGACTGAGTTTCGCATGCTGGATTAGTGGCGATGGATGACCTTTCTCTACGGATGACGGGTGACTGGATGAGGTGGGGTCTATAGTTGGCAGGACCCAAGACCGCCGTCGGTTGTACGGTGTAATCAACTTTCAATATATATAGTCCATGGCCTCCCGGCTTTGACGGACCCCCCCGCACTCGTGCGGCATTTGTAACTTGTACGTTGCCGTACCAAACACATCTCTGTACTGCACGTCCCGGTTATCCAGCCTGATGTCCGCCCCTCCCCTCGTGCTGTGCCTTCCCCTTTCCCGCTTTCCCTGCCTCTCTCCCGTTCCCTCCGTGTCTTCTCACCTCCCCCCCAAGGTACTTCGAAATGCGGATGCCAGCCTACGCGGAGAAGTACGGCTCATACCTCTTCCATCCTCAGAATATTCTATCAGGGCAGTGGCTGCAGCCCAGATCCCCGTATCACCATCCCGGTCTGTTTCAAATAGCTGCTGTGGTTATTGCTCAGTCCTGCCGTGTTGCGTTACAGTAGCTGAGCCGTCAACCGCAAGCACAACTCAGTAGCAAAACAACCCGTTGCGAAACCCCCTCCCAACACCAACCCATTGTGAAAGTTGCACTAGTGGCCGATAGTAATGACAGTTACCTGTGTTGCACCGTTCACGAATCTGCAACCTCAAGCGCCCTGACACGAGCCACGCGGGCGACCCACCCGAAACCAGCAAGGACAAACCAGGGACCGCTGCATTGTGGCAACCCCCGGGGTTGCCCTGGGTGGGTGGGGGGGAACGACGAGGCACAGAAAATCGACGAGAAAACGCACCGATACGGTTACTCCAAACTTAAACCCATAATAAAGGACAATTAGTACGATACCGACCCGTGGGTGGGTGGTGGGTACTAGAGGACACTGTCCCAGCAGCGGGACACACCTCTTGGTAATAGTCAAAACAACGGCAGTTAAAGAACCAATGCGCCTGTGGGACCCAAGTAAGGAGCTCGGCGTCCCCTGCCGTACTGCGGTCCGGCATATGCATGCATGCATGCGCCCTACTTCCACGCACCACGGCAGTTCCTTCGCAATAACTTGCCTATCTCTACACTCATACTTCGCTTCGAGAAGTCGAAGCTTATTGCTCAGTCCTGCCGTGTTGCGTTACAGTAGCTGAGCCGTCAACCGCAAGCACAACTCAGTAGCAAAACAACCCGTTGCGAAACCCCCTCCCAACACCAACCCATTGTGAAAGTTGCACTAGTGGCCGATAGTAATGACAGGTCTTGAAAGGACCCACAAGTGCAACGATCGCTGGTCGGTATAGGTCAAGAGGGTCATCACCCATGCCCCAGCCGCGGTGCTGTCTTCACCATTATGCGCTCGAAACCTCCGCTCGAAACTCTTCCAGCACCCCGCTTCTGCACCAAGCTGCAATCCGCACGGTTGTTAACGGCAGCGGTCACACCTTCAGAGTGCAGTGAGTGTGTTCCAAAGCGCGGAGACAGCCCTGCCTCCACAAAGAGCCTCCACAGGGGCCCCGGAGCAGTCTGTATGGTTGGGTGGGATGGTTGTGTTGAGCGGCGTGGTATGCTGCTCCAAGCTCGGCATGCCATCCGAGTTGGCCACGACCCAGCGGAGGGAAGGGATGGTGGTGACGATGCCGCACAACCCATATCGTGTCCATCGGTGCCGCTTGCAGCACACACGGACCACTACAAGTGGGGCACGATATGTGTATCAGGGTCTGCATTTCAGGGGTGGCACTGGCACAAAGTGGGCGCCGTCGGCAAAGTCCACTGGGAATGCAACCGTGTACCATCTTGGCGGGTGGATACCCCTTGGGTGACCCCGAGTGGACGGGACTATGCCCTCTTTGAGTAACACAGACTAGCTTGGACGAGCGGAAAAGCTGCAGCCAAGACTAAGCTATCACGACTACTGCTGTAATTATTACGATGATATGATGACTATTATTATGGATTTTATGGATTTGGGCCACCAGGTTGCATGAGGCCCGAGAGACATGGTGAACCAAAGCCATGCCTGGTGGCGGTTGCATGCATCAGGGCTTGTCTGATGATTGCAAAGGCGGAAACACCACCCAGCGACATTCGCACCCTGTCGCATGTCAGTATCTGGTGAAATTGTAAGGGGGAGCATTAGGTGACTGCTGTCGATGTGACTAAGGCAACTGCAAATTATCCTCGTGACCCCACGGTCTGGCCAGTTGTGCAAACAAAGCAGGGTTTAGCAGCCAAACGAAAGTGCCATGCCCCTTGAAGGGTACGTCCGCGAACTGGTGGCACTCAAGAGGGAAACAATCCACTGAGATCCAAGCCCTATTACCAGAGCAGTGGTGCGCACGCGTCATGTGCATGGCCACAAGGGGTCCACCTTTGGATCATCAAGTCTTTGGCAGGTTGGCTTTGATTGTCACCAGCACCCGCTGGGCGTCCAAGCACCCCTGCCGAATGAGGCTCGGTAACACATTAAACATCGCCGACAGTTCCAGGAGTCTGAGATGGACCCTCCAGTTCCGATACCCATCAGCCCACAGCAAGGGCACCGTCCTCAAGGACCCAACCAACCCAGCCGCCATACGAAAACTTGGAACAGCATCTGTGTGGATGGCAGATGGGTGCGCGTGGGAAGGTTGCCAAAAGAGTTTAACCCACCCTAGACTGCAAAGAAACGTGCAAGATTTGGCGACTCCGACAGCTCATGGCTGGCGGCAGGACCAGACCTGGACCGGTAAAACTGTGGACCACATTGGGGCAGCGATAGCGACATGCTCGAAAGGTCCGCGATCTCATGCACCCAGTAGGGAGTACAGCTGTTGAACGCTGCGCAGGTTCAACCATCCTCTGCACTGCGAGTCTCATCCTTTCGGTACGAATGGAGCCGTTGATGGTGTCAACCCGCCCCCAAGTATTCCGTCCACTGCTCAGGTTCGAAAGGGCATTCCTGGTTACTAGTTGATGATCCCACGTTAACCAAGTCGGTGAGAACCCGCTCTCGCCGCTGGTAGGGCGCCCGCACCTTGGTGTGCGAAAAAAACCCAACAGGCTGGTGCCAGCCTACTGGGCACTGCACCACCTGGGAAAATTCGCCCTTGCTGTGCAAAGCCTAAAATTGCCGAGCTTCCTTGTGCATATCAATGTGGTGATAGCCGGACTTCTGAGACACGGTGGGCAGATAGCCGTGTGGTTGCGGCACTTCACACAAGCATCCCACGGGTGGTTGCGGCACTTCACACAAGCATCCCGAGCTGTAGCTCGGCACCACACGGTGCTCGATAATATAACATAACGTGCATCAGAAATTAGGCGGAATTTGGGAGTGGCCTTCTTTAGGAACAAAACCGAGGGGCAATACGCAGCGCAGTTGGCAGTCGACTCGTGGTGCCGCCCCAGTTGCGACCAGTTCGGTGATCGCAAAATTCAGTCTGCTGTTAGGCCGACGGTTGGTCAGGCTGTAGGGTGCTTCGCACAACAGCGGGAACCGAACAGTACCCAGGCCATGACCAGGCGGGACTGCATAAATAACTTCCAACATGCTGTTTTGGCTTTCAACCGGGCCCTCATCTGTGATGGCTGGTTGGGCTTAGGTTTGTCTGCGCGCGGCAAGCTCGTCCCGGCCCTCCTTGCCTTCAATGTCGGGACAACTCTCATGTCATCCACGCGCCGGGGTGCACTTGTTCAGGGCCTGTCGGTACCGGTGTTCTCTCCGGGGAAATGCGGACACCTTGGTTGCGGGCACTGGCTTGCCGTGTCACGCCTCTTATGGGGCACTTGTGTCGGCCGACTCGAGGCCGGTCCGGCATCCGTAGGATAAACTTGCGTTTGACGCGCTGGTATAACCAGTGCTGCTGAGGGATCGCTATATTTTGAGCCAAAGAGTAACCGTAGACTTGGTCTTGTTGCCGATTGCGATGGTGTTGAGCCATTGCTGCGTACATAAGATCGCGCCCGACGAAGATGCACTGTCTGGTGACGACCACAGTGGTCGAAGCTGTATGACTTTGGCACAACCCCCGCCGATGTGCGGCCGGGCGCGCTGGTTGTTGCAGGCCGCCGGTCAGGAGACGGGAAAAGGGGCCAATCCTTCTTAAGTAAGCCTCTTCCTTCATTGAATATCGGGACAAGATCGTTTAGCAGACGAACGCGTGTCTGCAAACGCGCATGGACAGGTTCCCTTGAATGGCAATGAATTAGTAGCCATGTCCTGTTTGCTGGGCACCCAGGAAGATCTTGTATATGTAGTGTGTTAAGATCTAGAGACGCGGCGGCAAGGTACGCGAAGCACGAAGGCGAAGTCGGGATGTATCGGGGAAAATTGATGTGATGAAGCGGGAGTATGGAACCAGTGCGCTGTCTTCTTGTGCTTGCCCGGAGTGGGCACTCATGTTGGATGGTTGGGTAGCTGATGTGAAGTGGGGGCAAGGAAGGAAATTGGGTTTCTGCATACCCGCGCAGCTTTAGCACCAAAAGTGATTTAAGCCTGCCCACACAGTGGGGCACGACAGACCGATTTAATGGGTCTTGTAGCCTCTTTACCCTACCGCAGTCACTTGAGTATGTACCCTTTGCGGGGGTGGGGTGCGTCACTGTCGGCTGCTAAAGTAATCACAACTGCGAGCCACATCCGGCCATAACCACAGTGAAGACGGGCAGTATTAGAGCTCTTCTCACAAGAGACTTCTGGCCACATCCAGCCTAAGCACAGCGAGTGTCCAAAATTGCTGGCCACATCCGGCCTCGTAAGCAGCTTGTGTGGGATGTTACTGGCCCCTCCAGCCTGTAGCTGTCGGCTGTCGGTCTTTACCGGCTCCAAGCAGGGGAGAAGAATATCGGAACCGTTAGTAACCTTAGGCAATTGATGCGCGAGATCCGAAAACTGCCCGGCCCATGCGACCGCCTAAGCAGTCTATGCGCGAGGTCCGAAAAACTGCCCGGCCCATGCGGCAGCATGAGCCGTCTATGCGCGAAGTCCCAAAACTGCCTGGCCCAAACGGCCACATAAACAGGCGATGCGCAATTCCACGAAAACTGCCTGGCCCAAACGGCCACATAAACAGGCGATGCGCAATTCCACGAAAACTGCCTGGCCCAAACGGCCACATAAACAGGCGATGCGCAATTCCACGAAAACTGCCTGGCCCAAACGGCCACATAAACAGGCGATGCGCAATTCCACGAAAACTGCCTGGCCCGAACGGCCACATAGACAGGCGATGCGCAATTCCACGAAAACTGCCTGGCCCGAACGGCCACATAAACAGGCGATGCGCAATTCCACGAAAACTGCCTGGCCCGAACGGCCACATAAACAGGCGATGCGCAATTCCACGAAAACTGCCTGGCCCGAACGGCCACATAAACAGGCGATGTGCAATTCCACGAAAACTGCCTGGCCCGAACGGCCACATAAACAGGCGATGCGCAATTCCACGAAAACTGCCTGGCCCCAACGGCCACATAAACAGGCGATGCACAATTCCACGAAAACTGCCTGGCCCGAACGGCCACATAAACAGGCGATGCACGAATTCCCAAAACTGCCTGGCCCCAACGGCCACATAAACAGGCGATGCGCAATTCCACGAAAACTGCCTGGCCCAAACGGCCACATAAACAGGCGATGCGCGAAGTCCCAAAACTGCCTGGCCCCAACGGCCACATAAACAGGCGATGCGCAATTCCACGAAAACTGCCTGGCCCAAACGGCCACATAAACAGGCGATGCGCGAAGTCCCAAAACTGCCTGGCCCAAACGGCCACATAAACAGGCGATGCGCAATTCCACGAAAACTGCCGGCCCATACGGCCTCACAAGCAGTTGATGCGCGAGGTCCCGAAAACTGCCGGCCCATACGGCCTCACAAGCAGTTGATGCGCGAGGTCCACGAAAACTGCCGGCCCATACGGCCTCACAAGCAGTTGATGCGCGAGGTCCACGAAACTGCCGGCCCGAACGGCCACATAAACAGGCGACGCGCGAGATCCACAAAACTGCCGGCCCGAACAGCCTCACAAGCAGTCGATGCGCGATATCAAAAAACTGCCGGCCACATCTGCCCGCGCAAGCAGTCCAAGCGCGATAGTACTAGCTGGATATAACCTTGGGAAAAGCGCTCTCGGCTTCGTGACTTGTGGTAGTTAAGCCCGGTGTCCGGTAGTTGCTGTGGCGCATCACACCGCCAGTGCCTGAAGGGGGCCGGTGGACAGAGCCAGGGTAGGTTGCATGCCTGCTGCAGGAGCCTGTCGCGTTAGCCCAGCCGTTGACACCCACGCTGCCTGCTGGCCGCGTGAGCCCAGTGTGACTGGTGGTGGTTCGTCCATTTGGGCGTCCTCGAACATGCGATCCCCCGTTGCCCAGCGTCCTGGCAGGTTGTAAACCTTGCCCCGGAAATGTGGCGAATACGACAAAGGATCTGTACAACATTATTTGTAACTGGGTGTGACAGCCGGAGAATTCAGTAGTTGTGTAACAGTATGTGTGAAAGACGCTCGAATAAACGACACCGAAGTGGTACGCATTAGAATTCACAACTCAAGATAACAACATTTCATAGCGGATTTGAACTCCTAATGTATGGTGACGTTCCTAGCGGCAATGGAAGCTAAATAGCGGAGGTTGGTTAACCACGTGACAGCTTTCAGCAACGCCTGACCTTCTTCGGACGCATCATCCGCCATTGCTGTCCAAATTACGTTAATGCGCTCAGTGGCGACGCGCACAACATTCACCAAGGCCCAGGATCCGCGTAATTGCGGGTGGCTGGCTAAGGGCCGGCGGCTCCGCACATTGTAAAAGATTATCGCTTCGGGCTGAGCTAACATCAGCTGGGTTAGCTCCTCGTGCTCCTTCAGCCTCCGGTTGAAGTAAGCGGTGAGTGCTGGCGAAATAACTCGCGCTCCTCAGCTAGCTGCTGTTCGAAGAGGGCCCGCATTTCGGGAGTGAGCACTAATCTTTCTGCGCCCGCAGCGCCAATTTCCATAGCCGACATTCGATTCTAGTAATGCTAAGAAAAGACGGTGCAACACATAACTAGAGGACACTGTCCCAGCAGCGGGACACACCTCTTGGTAATAGTCAAAACAACGGCAGTTAAAGAACCAATGCGCCTGTGGGACCCAAGTAAGGAGCTCGGCGTCCCCTGCCGTACTGCGGTCCGGCATATGCATGCATGCATGCGCCCTACTTCCACGCACCACGGCAGTTCCTTCGCAATAACTTGCCTATCTCTACACTCATACTTCGCTTCGAGAAGTCGAAGCTTAGCTTGCCGGAAGCTAAGCGTCCGGCATGCTGCGATTTCCCGCATTTCCCATTAGGTTCACCGCCTCCTATGTAGAGGCTGCTTGGCGAATCCGCTTTCTATGCAGAATTTCCCTGATGATTTCGCTCGCTAAATAGTGGTAAACATTACCTTGAGCTTGTTACCTTCGCTGCGCTACCCGCACAAGTAAGTGGAAAGGGCCAAAAGCGCTACATGGCGTGGATACATAGTGTACAGAGCTCCAACTACAAGGTTGTGCAACGAGCAGGCGAGGTCATACTCTCAGAATGGTCAAAAGGCGTTGTCATATCGACGTAGACGGCAAGCCCCGCAGTGGGTCCTGATGAACGTTCCGAGTACATATGTATGCCAGTCCATTTGGATGTGACTTGCCACTTGCTGGCGGTTGGTTGCCGATCTAGGTCCGAACTGTTGGCTTGCACGGTTGGCAGGACAGCGGCACCACTTCTCGTTTAACCTGCAATAAGCTTCACACCTTGTAGTTCCCTTTACCCTTAGTTGTAAGCTAGCCGCACTTTTCACGCGTATACGCAATTCTTCTCGTATCCATGTTTTAAGGTACTGTTTACGACCCGGGTTGCGTCATCACTACGTGGCGAAAGGAGACACCCAAGCAACAGAGAAGAACCTGTTCACCGCAGTTCTTAAGCAGCTACACCATCCACAACATGATCGCATCATAGCGACTAAGGCCCTATTGTGGATCTGATAATGCCAGGAGCTCCGAAGTTGCATGGTTTTGCGTCAGGGTGACGGGCAAAGGGCCCGTACAGCTCGACCAACCGCAATCTAGTCAACGATTCAGAGAGTAAAGCATTGCGCACTACTTTTAGTTAGGAGGTCCATTGGGTTGTAAAGCTGTTTTTTTATACAAGAGTGCGACGTTGTGCTTGGTGCCGTGGTAGAGCACGGTCATCCTGCTTACGTGGACTGATATGAGTATGACTGATTTACCTCAAAGGCTTCTCAAGCTACATGGCTTCATACTTGTGGCCCTGGTGTATTGCGTGGTAGTTGTGAGGCCGCTTCGACCTGGACTTCCAAGGCTGCTCGCAAGCGTGCCCGCATTTCTGGTGTTCAGCCTTTGCCCGCTGCTAGTCAAAGATGTAAGCGGCATTCTCCTCACCAAAATTAGCAATTTGAAACCGGCGGACAGTCCCTTAGCCGCACGCACGTGCATCCTCACCGCCGGCCGGCCGAGTAGCTCCCCCTTTGCCTACCGCTACTTCACGGCATACTCTTAACTAACTCCTCCATCTGTCCAACTACCAAGCATCCAACGTCGCCTCCTACCTTCCGCGTACTACCGCAATGTTGAACCCAGAGCGCACTTCTTTCAAGTGCCGTGGCCCTGACTACCACATGGGTGGCCAACTTCAAGCTGTTGTCGTACTCGGGTGGCCGCGGCGCGTTATCACATCCTGGGATCCGCAGCGGCCTGCAATGGGGGGCCCTTTTGCTGCTGCCCTTCTTCCCTGCCAAAAGTAAGTGGGTTGTCCCTTCTGCGGGCTAGCAGAGGGCTCACGCACACACACACCTCCACGAGCCCGTACCGGCAACCGGAGAAAACAACTTTAAGAGGCAGCGCAGAGCGGGGCTGGGCCAGGTCCCAACCGGGCAGGGATTTTGGAAGGGCAGAACCACCATGTACCCGTGTACGCTTCTGCAGAGGCACAAGCAGGTGATATACCTATTTGCTATGCCGGGGCACATCACCGCCGTACGACACAGCGAAATAGTTTCGTTGTGTACAGCACCACATTTGTGCGTGTGTCTCTCTCTGTCTGTGTGTCTGTCTGTCTGTCTTCGATCCCCGTCCCGTCGTTCTGTCTCTTTCCATTCCAGCTCACCTACCGTCACGACCGCCCCCCCACCCCGGGCCCCCAGGCGGCCGCACTCCCGCCTCAACCTCCAGTCGTGGACTGCTCCTGGGCCTCCTGCTCAAGCTGGGCGTGTACCTGGGCCTCACTGCGGTGCTGGTGGGTGTGGAGCTGTCAGCCCTGGCACGTCACCTGATATACGGTGGGTCGGGGCCGGGGGGATAAGCGGTGTGGTGTCGCGGGAGGGCGTCGGGCGCTTTACATAAGAGTACAAAGTACAGGTCATAAAATGGCGCTTAGTAGTATTAAAGTACAGGTTATAAAATGTTTACAGGAATTGTATAACGTTCATTGACTATACTGATATGCTCCTCCCCGTAGCTGATTTATTACGAATAGCGTTTCCTTGTTTTCCGAGTCTCAGCGCAGCAATTGGGATTTTGAAATTTTTATGCTAGCCTCGCAGTACTGCAGGTATCCCCTGATCAGGCCCCCTTCCCCCGGGAGGTGAACCATCCGCTTGTGGTACCGCAAATCCCTGTGGTGGTAGGTAGATAGGTACGGTAGGTAAGGTAGGTACGGCTAGCTAGGTATGGAATCTAGGCAGGTGGGTTGCTCTACGCTCGGAGCGTGTCACCCGGCCCACCCTGACCCCCTTTTCCCTCCCTCTCCCCCTCCCCTCCCCCCCCCGGGCCCAGCTGTCCACTTTTGGATGTTTGTAAGCCTGTGCCTGGACGCCGCGATGCCGCTAGGCAGCCAGCTCCTGCCGGGAATACCGCTGCAGCCCGCCATGGATGCGCCGTACATCGCCACCTCCGTACGGGAGTTCTGGGGCCGTCGCTACAACCAGATCGTGTCGGCGACGCTGCTGGAGACCGTTTACAAGCCGATTGTGGAGGGGCGGTGGGTGAGCAGGAAGGCGGCGGCGGTCGCTGCCGGTGCGGAGGTGGATGAGGTGTCGTTGTCGCCGGGGGTGTCGACCGCGGCGGGCGCAGGTTGTGGGGGAAATGTGGCGGTACGGGCGGGACCACCGCCGCTGCCGCAGACAGGGGCGGTAACAGCGGTGGATTCTTCATCTAATGCCGGCAGCGGCAGCGGTGGTGGTGATGGCGCCGGTGGTGGCGACGGCAGCGGCAGCGAGCCCCGGCGGCATCGTACATGGCTGGTCCTGTCGGGCTTGCTCACTTCCTTTCTGGTCAGCGGCGCCATGCACGAGATTTGCATCTGGTGGGTGTTTTGTGTCCGTCTGTCTGTCTGTCCGTCTGTCCGTCCGTCCGTCTGTCTCGATTGTATAAGTACAACGGTTCATCGTCCCGAATGCATCAGCCGAAGTTCCATTGCTCGCATACTTCTCACCCGCGTCCTGGGCCCCAGGTTTGCCTGTGGTGGCAGGCTGGAGGGCAGTTTCCGCATGCTTGGTTTCTTCCTGCTCCAGCCGGTCATTATCTTGGCTCAGGACGGGGCGAGTACGGCAATGGCCAAGTGGGTTCCGGAGCAGCTGTCCGGCAGTCTGGCCGCCAGGGCGCTGCAGACGGGCGTGACGCTGGCGCTGGTGCTGGGCAGCGCGGAGTGGTTCTGGGCCCCTGTGGAGTCTTGTGGTGCGGACAAGCGAGCCCTGGCAGAAGTGGATAGCGCTATGAGGTGGTTGCTGGCACGAACACGGTCGCCGGAACTTCTGGCGCGGTGAGCGGTGAATGCTACTAGTATTATTGTTGCTACTCCTATAGCTGTTGCTTTTCTCGCACGGTTACTGATACTGTTATTGATGGTGATATTACGAGACATGCGGAGAACGTGCGCCGTAACGTGTGGAAGGCCAAAAAATAATCCTTCATATGGCGCTTGGCGCTTACATGTACCGACCGTTAAAAAGCGTCTTCCTTCATGCTGTGTTAGTGCTCGGGATGATTTGGAGAATGGTTTTTGTTGTTATTGTTGTTGTTCTTAGATACAAGAAGAAAAGTTCGGATGGCAACGTATGTGGACTTCGCTTGCTTTCGTATTGTGGACGAGAGTGTGCTTGGTTGTACCCCCTATACCGGTCATATAGTGCGCCATGGTGGTGCGTGTTGCCCTGACGTCGCAGTGGCGACGCTTCGCAACGAGTTACCTTTTCGTTTGGTTTGTTGGTATTTCCTTCTCATGTACCTGGTTTCGTTGATTTGGTCATAGATGATAGCGTGTCGATGGTTACGGTCCAACGGAGGTAAGCTACGGGCCGTAGGGTGATGGCTCTTCGATGTGATTGCCCACCGCGCCAATGTGCAGGAAGCTGAAGAACTGACCTTGATTCCATTTACAATTTTCGAAGTTACCTTCAGGCTGTACCCAATTCCGTTGTACGTCGCGCGGTTAGTGTCGTGATATGTGAAATGACGAGGCATGATCCGGAGCACCTCTCTTTGCATACTCTTGCAGTCATAGGGATTAGTAGCATCTCACTGATCTAGACGCCGGAAAGGTCGGAAAATTTCCAGTTTTTAGCGGTTGTGTGCAAGAGCTGAGGTCCGAAACCGGTTGTAAACATTACCTAGTAACATACAAAAATGATCTACGACGTAAACTCCCACCTGTTCCGGTCATTCCTGGCTGTCACCGGAGGCGCCAATGCTGGCGCCGCCAAGTAAGTGCTCCTCCAATCAAAGCTTTGTACTGAGGCGTAGTTGCCGTGTCATTATGTATGCAAGTACGTTTATGCCCTTGTAGTAAGTCCCTGCTTGCCTCGGCTCCCTGCTCTTAGCAATTTTGCGCATGGGGCTCGCTTGGTTTGCTTAGCTTCTTTACCGTTGCTTCGCAGGACGTCAAGCAGACGTGCACCAGGGGAAAAGGCTAAGGAGAATAAACACGCGTTCGTGGAGTAAGCCTCCTCTAGACCATCTGGATATTGTCTACATCTGGACGTGTATATTTCGTCGGGCCTCCGTTTACATGATAGAAGGGACGAGGCGGATGTTGTTTAACTACGTTTCCTAGAATTTTCTGGAAAGTTTTGTGTCGGAAACAGCGCTTATCGCACTGCCGTGGGAGCTTCGTGGTTTCTGGAGACGCTTGGCCAAGCAGCACTATCCCGTAGGGAAGTTGCAAAGGTTGACAGACTAATGTGGGGCCACTTCTCAAGTGTAACGAAGCTAGGTGCGATGGCGTCTCGCGTCAAGTGCTGAACTGCGTCAAGGGATCATGCGTTATGCTCGTTCTAATGCAACATGTTAGGTCGAAATGGCTTATTCAGCTTATCTATAAACATATGCAGCTTCCTGTGTATTATGCATAAACCTCCTTACGGACTTGTTGACAGCACGCATGAATCGTAATCGCCTACAATTCAAGCAGCTCCCAATATAAACAATTCTTATCTTCTATTGTCCAAATGAGCCCACCCACAGGATATGGTGACCTACAACTCAGATCTAAAGTCTAGCGACCTTGTTGGAAAAACGGGTCAAGAGCCTTGCTCCAGTATCCACACCATTTGTAAATTTCCACACTCTTACTAGTCTATCCATCAAGTCCTTAGACCAACCAGTAGAACTTTTACAACCTTGACCCTACAACTGGATGCTTTCGAGAACCCTCCAAACTGCGGCGCTCGCTGAGCGTATCCTTAGCGGTCCGCTTACACAATCGCTCTCTCGGTGGACGGAACGCGTCTACCAGGCAGACTGCCCAGCTCGCACCTGGCTTCCCCACATCCCGGCTTCGCCGCACGGAGCGCTCCTGCAGTTCGGCACCGCTGCGGCAACGGCGGCCTCTCCCCCCACGGACGATGCATCCGGACTCGTGATCCATCCTTCGGCAGCGGCGGTACGTCTTTACGCTCCTGCCTTACCTCTTCCTCCCACCCATACACACAAACCGAGACCCAATGGCTGTGCCGCACTTTGCCGCTACCCTGCTCGTATTGATTGCGACTACGCGTGTGTTTATGTGTGTGCAAGTAATCCCCCCCCCTCTCCGGGGGGGGGGGGGAAATTGTTGCTCCGGGGCCTATCGCGTGCAACCCTCTCTTCTCCCCCTCCCGTGTACATCTGCCGCAGCACTCTTTCCTTGGCAGCAGCAGCTTCACTTGCTCGCGGTTCGTCTTTTCCCCCCTCCCGCCTCGTTCCTATCGGCACTCTCGTTCTCTCTCACACACACATATACACACACACGTACACATACACATACACACACACCTACCTCCCACTCCCTCCAGCGCCTGCGGGAGCTCCAGGCCGAGAACCCAGGCGGCAGCGGGCTGGCTCTACGGGTGGAGGTGGAGGGCGGAGGCTGCTCGGGGTTCCAGTACAAGTTCAAGTTGGAGGAGGCCACCAAGGAGGACGACATGTGCGGGGGGTTGGGTGGGAACGGGGGCGGGGGCGGGGGGAAGTGAAGACGTGATGTGATGTGATGATCCCGGGGGGGGAGAGGACGGGGGAAAGGAGGGCACAAACCAGTCGCCGCCCGCATCCCCCCACCCTCCCCTCCCCACCTCCCTACTGGACTTCATCTCTTATTCCCCACCACCACCCCAACAGGGTGCCGCAGGCACTCTTTCCTTGGAAGCAGCTTCATTCGCTCGTGGTTTGTCTTTTCCCCCCAACAGGGTGTTCGAGTGCGAGGGCGGTCGGGTGGTGTGTGACGTCATCTCCCTGGAGTTCCTCCGGGGGGCGGTCCTGGAGTTCGAGGACAGCATCATGAGATCGGCGTTCACGGTAAGGGGGTGGAGGGCCTGGGGGCAGTAGAGTAGAGGAGGACGAGGAGGGGGAGGAGGAGGGTGTGGAGGGCCTGGAGGCAGTAGAGTAGAGGAGGACGAGGAGGGGGAGGAGGAGGGTGTGGAGGGCCTGGGGGCAGTGAGTAGAGGAGGACGAGGAGGGGGAGGAGGAGGGTGTGGAGGGCCTGGGGGCAGGTGCAGTGCCACTGGGGGGGGGGAAGGGCCCCGGCGCCGGTAAGGGGTGGGAGAGGCTGGTGAGGGGTTCACTTAGGGTTTTAGGATTCCTGGTTCCTGCCGTTTGCCTGCCCGCCTAGCTACATGTGCCTGTCTGTCTGTCTGTTTGTGTGTCTGTCTTCACAGATTAGTAAGAACCCCAATGCGGAGGCCTCCTGCGGCTGCGGGAGCTCCTTCGCTGCCAAGATGAAGTGATGGCGGTGGTCACCTTGCTGCTGCTGCTGCTGCCGTGGTTACTGCGGATGCGGACAATACTGTGTAACTAATATGTGCCCCATTTGATCTTTCTTAGGTTGTGAAGGTGCTGTGCAAGACCTTGCTGCTGTTGCTGGTGGTGGTGGCAGTTGTGGGGTTTGTTGCGTTACGTCGTTGTGATGCGACCCCGGGTGGCGGGCTGGGAGGGAGATAGGGGAGGGAGGGGGGGAGGGGAGGGACGGATGGACGGAAGTCCAAATGGTAGCTGCTGTGCTGATGGATCTGGGCTGCAGCCAGATTCCACAGTGGCCTTGACGGCCCACGTGCGTTTGTGTGTGTGGGGGGGGGGAGGGGGCCGGGATTGCAATCTTGAAGATTGGAGGCGGAGAAGGCGGGGGCTGCAGTGCATGGTCATGGCATATAAGCCGGAGAGGTGAAGCCGGAACGGGAGGTTGAGCTGTTGTACTGCTGTTGTTGGCATTGTCCGTACACAGCGGAGGGTGCCCCCGCAGCGGGTTAGGGGGATAGAGATATCGCCACCCGCCACCACTGCGCAGCTGTGCACCGCTTGGAAAGTGCGGTGGTAGCTCCCCCCCCCCCACACACACACACACAGAGCAGGAAGGGACTGATGCCCCTCGCGCCCATCTCCTCCCGTCACGGGGAAAGTGCTTTGGCGGTCGTTTCCGTTTGGGGTTTTACGGTTAGGTGCCCCTGACCAGTGTCAGGCCAGGATCGACGTGTAACGGAAACGCGTACCTACGTACGTACATACATACATACATACATACCACTGGGCTTTAGTGAGTCACAGGCAGGGCCAGACAGAGCGAACATTGTTCGCGCGTGTGTATATGTATGTGTGTATGTATGTTGGTACAGGGTGGTATAGCTTCACCAGCGGCCCCCTTTCCCGAGGCAGTTCCCTGCTCTCCCCTGCGAAAGGGGCATCCGAATCCGTTCACCCCATCCGACTTCAGAATGTATTCGTTGGGTTCAGCAACTCACAACCAGCATCCAACCAAATCTAGCGGATCAACTGCGCCTCAACTTAGTTCCAGATCAGCTCGCAAGTGGATATTATCACGTCCTACACCGTCCATAAGATGGGGGGCCACCTCCCATTTCACACACCCGAGCGGTCGGCAGGCGAATTTGAACCCGGACACTCCGGGAGCAGAAGTCAGGCCTTAACCTCTGCCAGCCGCCTGCCTACGTGTGTATGTATGTATGTTGTTACAGGGTGGTTAACTTCGCCAGCGGCCCCCTTTCCCGGGGCAGTCCCTGCTCTCCCCTGCTAGAGGGGCACCCTAATCCGTCACCCCATCCGACTTCAGAATGTATTCGTTGGGTTCGGCAACTCACCACCAGCATCCAACCAAATCTAGCGGATCAACGGCGCATCAACTTAGTTCCTGGTCAGCTCGCAAGTTGATATTATCACGTCCTACACCGTCCATAAGATGGGGGGCCACCTCCCATTTCATCACTCCTCAAACACCCGAGGAGCCGGCAGGCGGATTTGAACCCGGGTCGACTGGGTCAACTATGTATGTGTGTATCCCAACGTCGAGGCTGCATGGTAGGCCCGTAAGCGCTACCACCATATGTATCAAATCAAACCGTGTATGTAGGTATGTATGTAAGAAGGTACGTGCCAGAAGGAAATATGCGACTGTTCGTCTGTATATCCGCGTGTGTTTGCGTGTGTGTGTGTATATTTGCACGGAGCCATGCGGCCCCACCGCCCCCGGGTACTGGGGCCGAACCACCTGCCTGCTCACCACCTGCCTTGTGGGGTCGGGTGGTGGGAGCTGAGTTGGCCGCTCAGCTCCCCCCCCCCTAGCGGGGAGTGTGCGCGGGTGGGGGAGAGGGGAGGGACTTTGGAACCGCTGTGACCACAAGCAGCAGGCGGCACGGATGGGACTGGGGGATACACTGGGGGTTGGGGGTCACGTGTCTGCTGAATGCGGAGGGGCTGGGGGGGTTTACAATCCGGATCCGTGTTGGGGAGCCCTGCCGGGCAGCAACCTCCTCCCCTGCCACCAACACACACACACACACACACACACAGCGCGTCAGGGCCGTTTTTCACCCCTCCCCCAACGCCCCAATGCCCCAAGCCGTGCCAAAAGACCAGGAACATACGAAAAAATCCAAGTACGGTGTCTCGACAAATCAAGGCATAGTCAAATATTTAGCATGTCTGTAGAGAAACACGTGAGAGGGCTTGTTAAACCTAGGGAGGGACGGTTGATCCGGACCAGATCTGTCCAGTAGCAACAGAACTCGCCGACTGCTTCCGAAATCCAAAACCGAAAAAACCAAAATTCTCACCAAGTATTTACATGCAAACAGTTTTGTTTAAGTTTTGCGTTCACCTAATTATATAGTTTCTTCGACTATTGCACCACCACAACCACCCGGATGCGAAGAGTGAGAGTCTCCCATATATCCGGGCAAAGATGGTGGTGATGTGTGTGGGGGGAGGAGGGTGTGGGGGGGGGAGGTAGAAATCAAAGAGGGCTTTAAAAAAGGGCAACAGCAAGAAGGGAAATTTGACCTTAAGAGAAACAAAGGACGTGAGGGGGATGTTGAGGACCAGCAGCACACATACATACGTGCACACACACACACACACACACACACACACAATACATATCTGCTGCCCGGCCCCAGGAACACTCCCCTTCCCATCCTCCTCCCACACCTCCCACCCCCATATGCACGGATCTGCCCAAACTCCAGAATCTGACAACTTCACGACCATCAACCACAACCGCCAACCAACACCTGAACAAACCAAGTCAATAACCCAATAACGCAATCTCCACCCCGTTCGGAGCGGCGCGAACCCGCGGTACGTCCGCACGGCAGCGGGAGGAGGCGGCACGTCCACAGGAAGAACGTCCGCCAGCCCCACCTTCCTGCCACAATGTACGACAATTAATACGACAACTAGTACGACAACTAGTACGACAACTAAACACACAGAAAGCGAAGCCATGTCTGCCGGCACAGTCGCGGGTTGAATGGTCGTGAGGTGTGTTGACCACAGGGACGCGTGCATCGCGATGTGCCACTTACCCCCGGCCCCCGCCCCCCGAAGACTGGCCCCCGGCTGCTACAGCGGGAGGTCAGAGCTCTCGGAGTACCCGGCGGGGGAAGACGGGTGGTCACCGAGCTGCGTGCAACAGTAATAGTACGGCACCGTGACGCGACCTCAATACCTCAATACACCGCCTCACCTAATAACACCCAAATCATCACATTCTCACTATCTCTCGTAAAACGTCTGTCGGCTAATCTTGGTCTAACATACAGAATCTAAACCAAGCAACATGCTCGTCCTTACATGCCATGAATTCATTGCCGTACTTAACACGTGCATACAGGCTACATTCCACGACGCCGTACACCCCCTACCCCACCCCATCACGCCACCCCATCCCCACCCCCACCGCCGGTTTCGCCCCCCCAGCGACGACTAAAGGAACTGCGACACATTACCTTCTGCGGAGATCTACTTCAGCAATGGCCACAACATAATACGGACAGATACGGAAAATTCGTACAATCACAACACAGCTCATCTTCAGCTCAACTTTCGAACCCCTGGTTGGTAACTTAAGTGAAACGTCACCACCACCACCACACACAAATACACACGCGCACGAGGTGAGGTGAGGTGAGGTGAGGAGAGGGCTGAGCACCTAAACCCACGTTCCCCCGCGTCGCTCCTACCACTGGTAGCTGTACACACACACCGACAACGCAAGCGCCATACCCCTCCGCCCGTCCTTCACCCCGCACCTGAACCACCGCCGCACACACACTCCACCGTCGGCACATCCCTACATCAAAGCGCACAGCGGGGGTGGTACGGCCGAGTTGGAACCCGCCGCGGCGCCTCCGCCGTCACCTCCGCCGTCACCACCACCGGCATCGCCGTCGTCGCCGTCGTCGCCACCCAGGCCCCCAAAGCCGGCAAAACCCCCAAGGCCGCCGCCGCCGTCGCCGCCGCCGCCGCGCCGCGGCGGTGTCGGCCCAAACGCCGGGATTGTCTCCTCGGGGCTGCCGCTGCGACGGCGCGGAAGGTCCAGTGCCGTACTGAGACGGAGGACCTGCCCCGTCGGCGGAGAGGCGCCGCCCGCCGGGCCGCCCTGCGGAGGTACCTGCAGGTGCACACCCCCGCCCGCCAGTGCCGTACCTCGGGGAGGTGGTGTCGTACGTGGGTTGTACGACGACCCCGGGGTGCGCAACCCATTCGCTTCAGCGACGCCAGCGCCGGCGGCTGGATTGGCGTGCCGTACCCTCTCCCCCTCCCCCCTCCCGCCAACCTCCGTACGAGTATCGGCAACCCCCGGCGGCCCGGAGGCCGCGGCGGCAGACACGTCCGCGGCGCGATCCCGGATGGCCTGCGCATGGGTACCGCAACGGCATCGGTTGGTCGTACAGTGTACGGTATGTCTGCATGCTTGTACAGCATGACGTGGGATGCATGTACGGCAAGACGTGAGGACCATCATGAGCTGGGTCCTGGGGGAAGCTAGGGCCCCACTGTGTGCACCAGCCGCCTCCGCAACATATCCGGGTTATTTTACCTCCCGCATAGACACGTATACATACATACATACTTCCATACATACTTCCATACTTCCATACTTCCATACATACTTCCATACATACTTCCATACATACATACATACATACATACATACATACATACATACATACATACATACATACATACATACATACATACATACATACATACATACATACATACATACATACATACATACATACATACATACATACATACATACATACATACATACATACATACATACAGGTCAGGCACTACTGGTAAGGCACGGACCATTGCCCCCGGAGGTTCCGGGATCGAGACCAGCCAAGGCCGAAAATCCTCCCGACGATGGAAGGTAAACTGCCCTTCGTCGGTTGACGGTGGTTTGACCCACATTAGCTAGCGAGCAGACCACGAAGAGAGTTCCCCAGCCGTGGACCCGTCATATCCCGTCGAATGCCCGTGTAGCGTGCGGACCTAAGCGATTTACTGAGAAGTCGGCTAGGGTGACTGGATGAGGGTGCCCCGAAATACCGGGGAAGGCAGGGTTTCGCAGGGTAGCGGCCACAGGGTGAAGATATATAACCCCCCTGTCCCACGCATCATACATACATACACACGCTCCTGCATGCCACGCACAGCCACACAGAGCCCTCTTCCCCCCCCAGCCAGCCGTACACACACGCGCACACACACGCGCACATAAAAACCCAGCAGCGCTCACCGCCGCGAATGTCGCCCATCCGGCGCCCACCGGCCGGCTCCGGCCCGCCGCCACTGCCTCCGCCTCCGCTGCCGCCTCAGCCCTCCGCCGCTGCATATCCGCACGGTTTGCCGCCACCACGCCACGCAGCCGATTGCCTCGCACCTCCTCCCCCCCCTCAAACCCCTCCCCCTCCACGTAC